TGGCTCACAACCATCTGTAATGAGACCTGGTGCCCTCTTCTGGCATGTAGGCATAAATGCAGGCAGAATATTGTATACATAATAAATAAATCTTTAAAAAAAAAATAAGCGCTGGGCGTTGGTGGCGCAAGCCTTTAATCCCAGCACTCAGGAGGCAGAGGCAGGTGGATCTCTGTGAGTTCGAGGCCAGCCTGGTCTCCAGAGTGAGTGCCAGGATAGGCTCCAAAGCTACACAGGGAAACCCTGTCTCGAAAAACCAATAATAATAATAATAATAATAATAATAATAATAATAATAATCTTATTAAAAAAAAAGAGAGAGACAGCCTGAGAGTTTCTAGTCATTTCTTTTGTAGCCCAGGCTGGCTTTAACAAAAGGTTCTCCCACCTCAGCCTCTGAAATGATGGGATTACAGGGTGTTTCATCCTGTCAGCTTCCTATAGTGTTTATTTATATATTTATGTATTTTTGAGATAGGGTCTCGTTATGCAGTCCTGGCTTACCCAAAAATTGATATGTTGACCAGACTGACGTTGAAATCACAGAGATCTGCACACCTCTGCCTCCTAAATGCTGGGATTAAGGGCATGTGTTACTTACTACGTTTGCACTGTGTTCTGTGGTTCTGACCAGACAGGAGCCAGCCTGCCTGAGTTCAAATCCTGCCATGGACTGATTGGGTGACCTTGAGGACGGTTGTTTAGCATCTTCAGGCCTTGTTTCCCCCATTTATAAGATGGATCTCCTGGCGTTGATTGACATGAGGGATGGAAGTGTGTGTGTGTGTGTGTGTGTGTGTGTGTGTGTGTGTGTGTACTTAGTGCAGCTAAGATGGTGGCCTCTCTGACAGGAAAGCACTTTCGCCATTCCATTAGATGATGTAGTACTTAGAGCTGAGTGACTGAATCTAGCCTCTGTTCTGGAAGCAAATGATGGAATGGCTACTGAGAGGCAGCAACAGGGGCAGGGTTGTCCTAGGGTATCTAGGCATGCCACCTATGTGAACCATTAGGCTTCAAGGCTGTGTGACCAGCCACCTACACTGGCTCCCGCCATGGGCTAAGAGGTGATCTGGCTCATCCAACGAGGAGGGGCGAGAAATCCTGACATGCTGAAGCTGAAGAGACACTTCTGGGGATTCCCAGCTCTTTGTAGCATCCTCTGCCCTTCCTCTATCATCCTGAAGAGAACCTGCTGTGCCCCTGCTCCTGGCTGGTTGGAACCTCACTTCTGTTTTTACTCAATACTCAGAGCAGCCTGTTATTGGCATGCTCGTCACACAGGGAAGCTGAAGGCTACAAAGTCAAACTGCCAGGTCCCAGCTTGAGGGTGGTGGGCTGGAACATCTCCCCGTCTGACATCCCTCTCCATAGTCCAGGGTTGGTGCTTTCTGCCAGTCCACGCATCATCCCTCCCACTTGGCCTGCATGTGGCCTTTCCACTTCTGGCTCCTGCCCTCCCCTTGGAGCCACTTGCAGGAGGACTTGGGGAGAAGGCAACCCAACTCAGCACAAACAGCCATGGCCTCGCTGCTGAGGCCAGGCAGCTTGCGTGGGGCCGAATGCTGGGCTTCCAGCTATTTGGTAGGTATCTTGTGGAAGAGGTTAGAACTGCCCCTCTGCCCACATTCTCCAGGAGCATCTGGTTATGATTAGGGGCAAAGACTAAAGAGGGGCCCTGCAAGAGTCCAGCAGGCACCAGCAGCCAAGAGTGACTTAATTGGATAAAATGTCTAACGACAAATAAGAGCTCCACAGCAGTACCCTGGCCAGGCCCCAGGCCTGGCCCAGCCAAGCCTTGTTTCAACCTCCATCCTGGCTGCTACCCTAGAGCTATCACCTAGTAGAGTGTCCTCAATTATGCAATGATTGAGCACTTACTGTATGCCAGACTCTGAGGAGAGTGGAAAGAGGCCCGAGGAGCACAAATCTCCCAGGGAGAGGGCACAAAGTTACCTCGGAGAGGGAATCTAGGGCAGGAGCTTTGGTGAGCAAGGTGGGTGGAGTCAGAGGTGAAGAGGACAGAGATGTCTTTGATCGAGGACCCAAAACTGATGAAGGCCACAGGTGGGGGGATCTGGGTCCTTTATCTATCCAGGCCAGGTGTGACAATTAGAACGACAACATAGGGCCCAGCTTTGGGAACCTAACTCTCTAAAACAAAAGGGATGCTTTCCAGTATCATTTCCAATCAGTGTAACAGCCCCAAGCTGGCTGGAGTCTTGGAACAACTGCACCTGGATGGCCACTTGCCAATCCTGTGTTCATGACGGAGGCTACTCAGCGATCATGACACTCTGCTACTAAACACAAATAAAGTCTTGGGATTCCTATTGAGAATGCTTCTGGCTGTCACTAATTAATGGGAGATGGCATTTGAGATGAAACCTCTTTTGCCATGCCAGTTGGTTTCTCAGCCCCTTGTTACACAGGAAAGCGATTTGCCTGAGGTCAAAGCTTGAAAGTAGTGATGGAGCTAAAACTATTGTTAGTATTTAGGCATCTGTTCTGGCCTGTCCTTGGGGTTTCCCCCTCCCCCCCCCCCTCTCTCTCTCTCTCTCATTCTCTCTCTCTCTCTCTCTCTGCCTCTCTCTTCTTCTCTTCCTCCACTCCTGTCCCCAGAGGCTGGTCTCCCCTCCCCCTCCACCCTTTCCTATTCACTTTCCCCCAATTAAAAAAACCCTCCACCTAAGCTCTGTCCACAAAGCTTTTTAAAATTACAACTATGCCCCTCGGTAGGACAAGGGAGCCAGGTATAGTAACACACACCTTTGGTCCTAGCACCCTAGAGTCCGATCTCTGTGATTTAAGGCCATCCTCATTTACATAGCCAATTCCAGCCAGGGCTAAGGATTGAGGTCCTGTTTCAAAACAAACAAACCAAATCAAGGGGACAAGGGAGAAGCACTGTTTCCAGGGAGTTTCTGGTTATGTCTTTTCAACAATCAAAGCCAGTGGGGGAGGGGAGAGAGGGAGAGGAGACAGGGTCCAGCGGGTAGAGAGGAAAGATGCTATTGAATGGCTTACAAAACTATGATCCAGGCCAACAAGCCACCAGACTTAAAAATGGGCCAAGGACTTAAACACGCTCCCAAAGAAAGCATATAAACAGCCACTATCACACTAAACGATGCTCATTCTCACTAGTTAAAGAAATGTAAACCAAAACCACAAGTATGTATCACTTCCTGTCCATTGATTAGAATGGTTACTACCAAGACCCCAGGGAATAACAAAATATAAGGATGCTGTGAAGAAATTGGAAACCTCAGACATTATTGAGAAGAGAAACTGGCCTATGAGTCTGGAGAGATGGCTCAGTGAGAGCACAGGCTGCTCTTCCAGAGGACCTGCATCTGGTTCTCAGCACCCACATGGCAGCTCACAACTGTCTGTAACTACAGTTCTAGGAGATCCAATGCCCTCTTTTGTCCTCCACAGGCACTAAATGCAAACGAAACACCAATATACATAAAATATAATGAAATAAAAATAATTTAAAACCATACAAACAAATGAACTATCATAGCCATTTCACATGGAAAACAGTGTGGAAGGAAATGGAATTACTATAGGAACCAACAATTCCATTTCTGGGCACATAACCCAAAGAATTGAAGACAGGTCCCCAAAGAGATGCTGGCACCCTTTATTTCTCTTAGAATCATTCACGATCTCCAACTCATGAACACAACCCAAGTTTCTACCGTCAAAAGATCAGATAAGCAAAATGTGGTATAGCATGAATAACAAACATCCAGTCTTCAAAATGAACAAGGCTGAAGACTGTATTTTCAGGGATCATTTCTTTTTTCTTTTTTTCTTTTTGGTTTTTCGAGACAGGGTTTCTCTATGGCTGTCCTGGCACTCGCTCTGGAGACCAGACTAACAGAGATCTGTCTGCCTCTGCCTCTGCCTCCCAAGTGCTGGGATTAGGCGTGCACCACCAACACCCAGCTCAGGGATCATTTCTATAGTTTGTTACTAGAGAAATTTCTCTGACTGTGTAGAGCACCCGAAACCACGAGGACGAGACGTAGTGTTCCCTCCTGAGAGTGAAGCCGGCTCTAGGTGCTGCTTTTCTGTGGCTGTCTCTTGCCATTGATGATCACTCTTCTCTTCCTTATGGAAGGGTGAGAGGGAGGGTCAACATAGCATAAAAATAACCAAGTAAAAATTAACAACTCGGCCGGGCGTTGTTGGCGCACGCCTTTAATCCCAGCACTCGGGAGGCAGAGGCAGGTGGGTCTCTGTGAGTTCGAGACCATCCTGGTCTACAAGAGCGAGTGCCAGGACAGCCACAGAGAAACTCTGTCTCGGAAAAAGAGAGAGAGAGAGAGAGAGAGAGAGAGAGAGAGAGAGAGAGAGAGAAATGTATTGTATGGTTACACTTATATGAGACATATGGAGTATTCAAAAAACAAAGAGAAAAGTAGGACAGCCCCGTGTGGTGGCACACACCTTAAATCCCAGCCCTTGGGAGACAGAGGCAGGCAGATATCTATGAGTTTGAGGCCAGCCTGGTCTACAGAGAGTTCCAGGACAGCCAGGGATGCACAGAGAAACCCTGTCTTGAAAAGAAAAAGAAAAAGAAGAAGAAGAAGAAGAAGAAGAAGAAGAAGAAGAAGAAGAAGAAGAAGAAGAAGAAGAAGAAAGTAGAACATAGTTGGGCATGCAGGTCAGTGGCAGAGCCTGGCAGGTGTGAGGCTCTGAGTTCTGTCCCCAGCACCTTTAACCTCTGAGCCAGATCCTGGTTTGCCACACAAACCGTGTCTGCTGTGGAGGGTTGAGGAGTTTTAGCATTGCATGCTCATGTTTCTGGGCATGGTATGAGGCACATGGTTCTCATTGTGTGTTGTGAACCTTCAGTCCTGGTCATCAAGTGTCCCCAGAACCAATAAGGCTGCAGTGTTGAGGCTTCTGCAAGATAGGAGGTCTGGACCCCTTCTCGCATCCTTCCTCAGGGCCACCACCACTCAGTGTTCTGTCCCTTCTCCTAGGTCATGATGAAGGCCAGGGCTTGGAATGGAATGCCAAGAGGACCAGGCAAGGCTGGAGTCGGAGAGCCCGAGAGAGTCCTGGGCAGGTGTTGAAGCCAGGCAGGACTCAGCTAAGCCAGGACCTAGGCGGGGCCTCACTGGCCATCGACACACTACCGGACAACAGGACCAGGGTGGTGGTAAGTGGTGAACCAACATTGTAGGAGAGCAGAGCTGGGGCCCACCTAAGTGTCTGGTATGGAGACTGGACTGGATGGGGAACCCAGGGAAGAAGAGGCAAGCTGACTCCAGACTGGGTCATAGGATGAAAGCATCTCAGAGTTTTGTAGGCTGCTGGCCTCCTCCACTAGGACCCTAAGTGACCGAGTAACCTGCTCCAGGATGCACAGTGCAGGCACTGAGCTCTGCCAGGACTTAGAGGAGAAAAAGCTAAAGATGACACAAGGTACAGCCAGCTTTCCATTTAAGCTCCACACTTCTGCATCATCTTTAGACTGTGGGACCCTAAAGGTTAAGAAAGGGGCCCACAGCAAGAGGCACTCTGAGGTAGTTGGAGCAGAGGAGGAAGCAGTTCAGGTGTCATCGAGGCAGAAGTTTCTGGGCTTGGGGGCTGGGAGCATTCTGTGGGAGGAGATAACTCTGAAAGCTGAAGGGCCTCTTCATCCTTATGAGAGTGTAAGCTGGAGGCGGTCTGCACCTGTGGCTGAGGAATCTTGCCTATTGTGTCCAGGCGCCCATAGTTTGCCGCTGCGGGCAGCTTGCGTCTGGGATGAGTGTGAATGAGTCTGTGGTGGGAAGGGAAGGGTGGAGGCCCAGGATGCAGGAAAACTACAGAAGCAGCAGCAATGAGGATGTGCTTCACAATGTCTTCATTTTCTGTGTCTGAAGAACTTCCAGAAACTTCCAGACGTCAGGCAGTGCTAGAGGGAGTGGGATGTGGTCATGCATGCCTGTGAGCCCAGCTGAGTGTAAAGCGGAAGCCAGGGAATGACTGGAGTTCAGGGCCAGCCTGGGTAGTGCAGGCCAAAAATCATCCTAGAAGCAAAGAAGAATAAACACAGAAAACCCAGGCTGCCTCTCACAGTCCACAAGTTTCCACAGCAGGGTGTCTCTAGGCTACTGTTTTCCCATTAGTCTGCTTCTTAGGCTCTCTTAATGAGTGAGCTTTGTTTCTTTGGTGTGTTTGTGGGGAGGGGGGGGGGGGGCTTAAGTACCCTGTAGGCGTGGTCTTTGAGTAGCTCCAGGGGAGGGTGGGCTTTCTGAGGTCAGAGTCAGGGTTTGGAGAAGGAGGAGGGGGGCTGATGTGCTTCTTATAGCTAAACAAAAGCTCGAAGGCATTTCACCATTTTCTCCTAATGTCACCGTGAAGGGATCTGCTATAACCAGGAGCACGGTGACTCATACTTATAATCCCGGCACTTGGGAGGCTGAGGCAGGAAGATAGCTAAGAATTCAAGACTAGCCTGGGGTACCTTATGAAATCTCTATTTCAGCACATGTATATCTACCCCTGCTTCCCAGTCCAAGAGATTTGGTGTAACCTAGGGCATAGTGTCTCACGCCTGTAATCCTAGTACTTGGGAGGCTGAGACAGGATTGCTCAGCCTACACAGCAAGTCCTGTCTCAAAAAGGAAAATTGATGTTTAGTGTCACTTTTATTCCTGACCTGGTCATACACTTCTTTCTGTTCACTGTCAGTCCAGCGTCCTGAAGTCATAGCTGACTGTCCAGGCTGGCCTGAGATTTGCTATGTAGGTCAGGCTAGCCTCCAACAGGAGCCACCACACTGTTGTTGGGTACCCACCAGGGAAGACTGACTGGACATGGATTTAAGTGTGTAGAAAGTCTATTAGCCATGGAGGGACTACGCTAGGGATCCCAGTGTAGCACCGAGCCTTTCTTAGAGTGAGCTTTGAAGTACAAGAAACCATGTTCTGTGCTGACATACTTCAGGTAACAAGAAGAGTTATCCAGAAGCAGAACTACAGAAGCCAAAAACCAAGATTAGTTCATTTAGAGACTTTCCCAGCACTACAGACTTTGTGAATCAAGTCTTTGTTTTCACTTTGACAAGTGGTACTATTTATGTGATGAGTTGGCCTGAATGGTACTTCCATCATGGAGTCAGTAGTGCTAAGGCCTTGGACCCTGTTACACACACCTGGCCATGCTCTGCATTTCCAAGACTTCTTTATTGCATGTTTTTTGAAAATCCTCTTTCTTGTTCCTATGTTATGGATGAAACATCTTTTCTCTCTAAGGGTATTTCATAAGCTTTGAGTGTTTTTTTTGTTTTTTGTATCCTCTGTATCGTTTGTGATACTATGCTTACCTCAGTCTCTGGAGTAGTTTGGCACCATGACTGATTCTGTCATTATTTAACATTTTGAGATTTCATTCATCAAAATATCACTAGTGTTTGGCACTAGTGTTGCTTTTGATTGTTTTGTGTTTTTGACAGGGTTTCTCTGTGTAGTCCTGGGAATCCTGGTAGTTGATCTGTAGACCAGGCTGGCCTCACAGAGATCTGTCTGCCTCTTCCTCCAGAGTGCTGGGATTAAAGGCGTGAACCACAACTGTCTGGCTCAAATGTTGATTCATAAAATGCCGTATTAAGATGCTCTTCTCAACTCCTGAACTCTTTTGGTTCCCTTATCAGTGTGCCTGAGGCAAATGACTCCCTCAACAGACTCTCATCCCAGCCCCAAGGTGACCTCTCAAAGGACAAAGCCCACTCACTTCCCATTCTGTCTTGCCTTCTGGAACATTCAGAACTGAGGAGTAGGGTAGGTTTGGAAGAAGGGAAGAGTGGACAGTCAGACCATGAGATGTCCCTAAGAAAGGGGCTCCTGTTGGCTTACCCATTCCTCGACGCTTTCTCAGACTCTGGGTTAAATAACTGATACCTGCTCAGGGGCCGGGCACGATGGTCAGAAGGGCCATGTCCCAGTCTGCACAAAGAGGACTCCTGGAAGCAATTGTCTGTGGGTGTTTAGTAGGAGCAGTGCATTCCGTGAGCCCAGGGGGACTCAATAACACTGGGGCTAAAAAAACAAACAAATAAAAAACCACACAGTCTTGGGCTACGCTCTGGACAGATTAGTTCAGTAGCCTTAAAGCCTGGGATTCATTTCTTCACAGTATCCTCACATGGAGCTGGAGAGATGGCTCAGGGATTAAGAGTACCAGCTGCTCTTTCAGAGGGCCTGGCTACTCTTCCAAGCATCTACCTGTCACAACTATCTGTAACTCCAGTTTCAGGGGATTGGACATTCTTCTGGTCTCCTTGCTCACCAGGCACACATGTGGCACACACATATGTGCAGGCAGAATATCTGTACACATGAAATACATTAGAATAAAGTGATTTCAAAAATAAAAGGGCTGGAGAGATGGCTAGAGGCTAAGAGCACTGACTGCTCTTCCAGAGGTCCTGAGTTCAATTCCCAGCAACCACATGGTGGCTCACAACCATCTATAGTGAGATCTGGTGCCCTCTTCTGGCATATAGGGATACATGCAGACAGAACACTGCATACATAATAAATAAATAAATAAATAAATAAATAAATAAATAAATAAATAAATCCCTACTTGGGGCAGGGGTGTAGCTCAGTGGAGCATTTGCCTAGCAAGTGTGAGGCCCAGGGTTCCATCCTTGCTCCTGTGAAAAAGGAAATAAATAACAAAACTCTGCATGTGGTTCTGCTGGACATCTTCAAGTAAGAGCTTCTGGGATCTAAGATGCCCAGGTGATTTTGAGGTTTTTAAAGGAGATTTGTTTTAATTTACTTTGTATTTATGTGTATGTGAGTGTGTCTGTGAGAGTGTATGGCCCGAGTGTGCAGTACCCCCAAAGGCCAGAAGAGAGTGTCACATCCCCTGGAGCTGGGATTACAGGAAGTTATGAGTCAGTGAATGTAGGAGCCCCACTTGGGTCCTCTGGAAGAATTCTATGTGCATTTCTCTCCAGTCCCTCCAGCCAGTTTTATAATGGTGGCCAGAGCAGGCCAGGAAGGCTGAGATAGGAAGGTCACAAATTCAAGGCCTACATGGGTTACAGAGTGATTTCAAGGCTAGCTTGGGCAACTTAGTGAAAACCTGTTTCAAAAATAAAATGAACAGGACAGGTGTGGTGGGGCATGCCTTTGATCCCAGAACTCCAAAGACAGAGGCAGGAGGATCTCTATCAATTCGAGGCTAGCCTGGTCTATGTAGTGAGTTCCAGGGCAACCAGGGCTGTGTAGAGAGACTCTGTCTCAAAAAATAAAATAAAATGGTAAAAAGAGAGCCAGGTGGCCTAGCATTTGCCTAGGGTGCGAGGCCCAAAGTCCAGTACTTAATACTAAAAAAAAAAAAAAAAAAAAAAAAAAAAAAAAAAAAAAAAAGTGAGGTGTGGCAGGAGGATTATCACTAGTTCAAAGACAGTCTAGAAGTACTTAGTCACTTCTAGAACAAAGAATGGGATCTTGTCTCAAAGTTCCTGAAAGAAATAAGTCAGTAGTAGTGGCCAACCTGACAGCAAGGACACCAGGCTTTTCAGATGTACCTCGTATCAATACTTGAGCACATGACTTCTAACATCAAGAGGGTTCATGACCCCTTGACAACCACTCACCAAGAGGCCACACTGCAGCTAGGCATGGTGGCACACACCTTTAGTCCCAGCACTAGGAAGGCAGAAGTAGGTAGATTGAGGCCAGGCTGGTCTACAGAGTGAGTTCCATGACAGCCAGGGCTACACAAAGAAACTGTCTCAAAAAACAAACGAATTAATTTTTTTAAAAAAGTGGCCACACTGAAGAACAAGGCCACCTGAGAGAAGACACCTCTATCTGGTTGTCCCCAGCTCTGTCTAAGAAACAGGAGGTGAAGGCTTAGGATGGCCGCTATCTGGAAGAGGGTTCAGAGGCCACATCAGGAAAAGAGTCCTCTCATCCTTAGTGGGCGGGAGTGGGACCTGCCTCAGGCCAGGTGCAGCTGCCCGGACAAATGGAGATCCCGGGTCTCAAGGCTGCAGTGAATCAGCGATTCAGCTGCGAGCCCCGCGGAAATGGCTTAGGAAATGGTTTCTCAGCACTGTGGGCCTGCTGTGGGCTGGGTTGAGTCAGGCACAGGGGGCCTCTGCCAAGGACGGAGGCGGGCAAGCAGCTGTGCTAAAGGAAACCCATGACAGCC